TATGTTCATTTCAGAGACTAGATTTTAGTCTAGACTTTCGGTGCAGCCTTGGAGCAACTCTGTGAACTCACTCGCGGTTGGTGTATATAGCAACTATTAAAAAATCTTTCCTGTTTAAAACAGTAAGAAAGCCACAGGCTGAAACGTTCTGTACTTTGTAAATGGCTGCTTCGACAAGGTTGGTGTGTTCACCTAAAACCCCAGATAAGGATGCGTGGTTGACTAGACTACACTCTCGGAGGACTAAAAATTGTTTGTTTGTTGTTTAACGCCGCACTCAGCAATATTCAAGCTATATTGCGGCGGTCTGTAAATAATCCTGAAATACTGTTAAAGCGGCGTTAAACCTTACTCACTAAAGAGTATTTTAAACCTATGGTCATGCCCACCAGACGCTGTGGGGACACAGAATAGGTCCCCAGCTCTATCCTGGTTGTCGGGGGCACGGGTGGCTCAGTCGTCTAAGGCGCCCCGATTCGCTGTGCAGAGTTGCGTCCCTTGGGCACGCCAGAAACCTATGATTGTGGGTTCGAATCCCGGTTCGCCCCAGTTATGTTTCTAGGTTTGTCAGCACCATACCCGTGCTCGTGGGTTTCACCGAAGTGGTAAATGTCTGAGACCTGCATCACTTCGGGCTTTCCTCCCACATTAAGCTGACACGCCGCGATATGACTGGAATACTGTTAAAAGCGGCGTCAAACCCAACTCACTCACACACTCACTATCCTGGTTGTCGTATAGTGAACTAAAATTTAACGTCATATCGGCATTATTTCACCGATATAGCGATGGGTGTGGTGTAAAAGGTGACTTGATGAATATGGTGGTCAGGCTCGGTGATTTGGTTGATTGCGCCTCCTCGAGCCAACAAAGCGTGGGGGGTTGCTGATAATCATCAGTTAGTGAGGTGAGGTGAAATGGGGTTTAACGTCGCGTCCAAGATTATTGCACTTCGAACCCACGATCATAGGTTTCTGGAGTGCCAAAGGGACGCAACTCTGCACAGCGAATTGCGGCGTAGAGTGAGTGAGTGAGTTTGGTTTTACGCCGCTTTTAGCAATATTCCAGCAATATCACGGCGGGGGACACCAGAAATGGGCTTCACACATTGTACCCATGTCGGGATTCGAACCCGGGTCTTCGGCGTGACGAGCGGACGCTTTAACCACAAGGCTACCCGACCGCACCTGCGGCGTAGAACTGTGCTGAGGTGAACTGGGGTTTAACGTCGCGTCCAAGATTATTGCACTTATATAACGTGTGTGTGTGTGTGTGTGTGTGTGTGTGTGTGTGTGTGTGTGCACTTATATAGCGACGTGCATGTACGTGTGTGTGTGTGTGGCTGCTTGTACTAGTCCGGACTGATGCCGATTTATAGTGCTAGCTCACTAAGATACCATGCCGCAGTTTAACATGAATACCCCACTCAGACACAGTATACTGACTCCGAGCCGACCAGTCCTTGTTTTAGCCCCTAATGCCGAGCGCCAGACAGGGTAACAACAAGTACCATCTTTTAACGTCTTTTGGTATGACGCGGCAGGGGATCGAACCCCGGACCTTCCGCTCTCCGGGCGGTTGGTTGGTTGGTTGGTTTGTTGTTTAACGCCGCACTCAGAAATATTCCAGGTATATGACGGCGATCTGTAAATAATCGAGTCTGGACAACACAATCCAGTGATTAATATCATGAGCATCGATCAACGCAATTGGGACCGATGACATGTATCAACCAAGTCAGCGAGCCTGACCACCCGATCCCGTTAGTCGCCTTTTACGACAAGCATAGTCAACTTTTACGGCAAGCATGGTTTGCTGAAGACCTATTCTATCCCGGAATCTTCACGGGTCCTCTCCGGGCGGACTCACTAGACCACGGAGGCGGTCGTTACCAGTTAGTCTGGTGCAGACTCACTCATTTACAGGCCGCCGTGATATAGCTTGTGTATTGTTGACTGCGGCGTAAAACAACAAGCGAACCACTTTCAACCTCTTCAACATAAACCCATCTCTATCAACATGATAAAGAATATAAATGCCGGTGACACTGGTTTAAATTTCAAGTTTTCTGAGAGGGGTACATTTTTTTCGCAAACTTTATTATAACAAATTTTGACCTCCATTTGTGTACTCTCCCGTGTGTATGTGTACTGACACTTCACGAAATGTAAATACTATCGTGTAAACAAGCCTGGATCCCGAATAGGGGAGCGGCAGAGTGGCTTACTGGCGAGGGCGTGAGGCGGAGGTGTCATCGTATACGGCGTAATTCCCTTTATATATACATAAACCTTGTCAGTAGTTCTCAGCCGGGAAACAGGGTTTCGGTCTAACGGAGTCCAGAGTAACGGCCTTTCGCAGCGCACGAACCACCACACGAGAGAGAGAGAGAGAGAGAGAGAGAGAGAGAGAGAGAGAGAGAGAGAGAGAGAGAGAGAGGAAGAAAGACACAGAGAGAGACAGAGAGAGAGAGAGGGGGAGAGAGAGAGAGGGACACAGAGAGAGAGGGGAGGGAGACAGAGAGAGGGGAAGGGAGAGAGAGAGGGAGAGATAGGGAGAGAGAGAGAGAGAGAGAGAGAGAGAGAGAGAGAGAGAGAGAGAGACGCAGTTATAGTTCTGATGATGAATAAAACAATAGTTCAATAGATATTGATTACAATGGATGGATGACACATATAATAGTCACAAGGCTTATAAAAACCTTATGAGAAACGATTAGACATTAATCACAACATAAGTATGATATAAATACAACCATACAATCAGTGTATATAGGGGAAAAAAGATTAAAAGTTGCGTTTTAAGTTAACAGCCGCCGACATGTGGCTGGAATATTACCGAGTGCGGCGTTAAACAACAAACAAACACAAATGTAAGTTAACATGTTACAATGTTCATCTAGAAATATTATAAAATAGTCCTTGTTACCTAATGTTAAGATGATATTATCATGAATACGTGTTTTTTGTCCCTGGAATTGTATACAGACGTTTTCACCAGTAATTGTCCGTAAGGTTGTTGGGCTAACGAAGACTTGTGGCGAATACCCTACGAGTCATTATTATTGACTACTCCAAGCCTGTACAGAGGTCGTGGGTTAATCTTTATATTTCACATAGTCTTTATCAGAAAATGTAGAAAAATCAATTGTTCGAGTGACGCCATGAACAAAGGATGACGTCGTTCTTGGTAACAATCACGTCGATATTGCGTCAAACTAGTCCATCTGTCTCCGTGGTCTAATGGATAAAGCGTCTGCCCGGAGAGCGGAAGGTCGGTGGTTCGATCCCCTGGTCGTGTCTTACCAAAAGTGGCTGAAAGATTGTACTTGTTGTTACCCTGCCTGGAGCTCGGCATTAATGGGCTAAAACAAGGACTGGTCGGCTCAGAGTCAGTTTACTGTGTTTGAGTTTGGGTATCACTGTTAAACTGCGACATAGTATCTCAGTGGGCTAGCACTATGAAACCAGCATGCATCCGGACAAACACACGTGCATACATGTCGCTATGCAAGTGCAATAATCTTTGGACCCGTGAAGATCCGGGGGAGCATAGGTCTTCAGCAACTCATGCTTGCCATAAATGACGATTATGCTTATCGTAAGAGGCAACTAACGGGTTCAGGTGGTCAGGCTCGTAGACTTGGCCAATGCATGTCATCGTATCCCAATCGTGTGGATTGATGCTCATGATGTCGATCATTGGATTGTCTGGTCCAGACTCGATTATTTACAGACCGCCGTCACATAGCTGGAATATTGCTGGGTGCAGTGTTAAACTAAAAAAAGCACACACAAAGCAATAATCTTGATCGACGTTAGAACCCATTTCACCCATCAGTAAGAATTAAAGTTCATATTAAAAATTTTGAACATAACTTCACCGAAAAGCCTGCCGCTGTTGTCGATGCTGCATGTGTGCACTAAGTTCATATATCCGATTTTGGTTTAGTTAACGGCCGTTTATTCACAACTATATTTTGTTAAAATCGGCGAATTTTCTTATCAAAGCGGAATTACGTTTTTGAAGAGCATAATAAATCAAAATGTCAACTACCTCCCATACGTATAACTCCATATATAAAACCTCAACTCAAGAGTAGGTTTCTTCAATAATAAATGCTACCTTTTCGAACACGACTTTAATTATGAGCCGTTTTGAGTAGAGCCCAAGACACGGTACTTGCTTTCAGTGAATTATTTAACTCAAAAGTATAGATTATCAGTGTGGGTAGCATACAGATCACACACAACTTTAAAGCAGATTTTGGTCACATTTCGGTTTCATTTTCTAAGGAAAGCATCTTGATTTCATGAACAATAAACTTAACTTTGATTGAGCCAAACTGGCATTATACTCCGAAATGCCAACTGAAAGCGAAGTCGTTTAAATACGCAAAATTAGAATATAAACACCACAAACAAAAGCAAACTCAACACGTCCGGTTTTATTAATTCTTTTTGAATAAACATATTGTACCTCAGTGTCGCGCATTGTGAGGGGATCTATTCAGCCACACGTTTTTATAATTCTATCTTTCAAAATACGAATTGGGTTTCAAAGCAGCCTTGGCTTTTGACACTGTGCATATCGCACGTGTATCACGGAAAACCAGGATATGGCCTGGTGGTATAAAGGTACTGAACCTAGCCTTTATAATCTCACTCTCGGTTGCGCGGACCTGTCGTGTGCCAGCGTTTGCTGTCGTGTGCTTTACCAGAGCGGAACGCTCTCTCCTTTGAACACACGGGCCGCCGGTGTTGTGATTCTATGTAAATGTGCCTCTTCACTACCCTGGCTCGAGAACGGGAAGATATAGTCCCTCGATGCCACTGCAGTTCAACGGCCTGGAAACATTATTTTTAGCTATACCCTCAGTTACCAATGCACTGTACAGCTTGTGCAATCTTGCAAGAAGGGAATCTGTTATTGATTCTGGTTTTTATCGAAGGTGTTCACTCCAGGTATCCGCGCGCCGGGCGTAGTAATATGTAAGACGCTCGCCGCAAGCGGCTTGGCACGAGTAAAGTTTTATTGAAAGGAATAGGGAGAAGTAAAGTTGGATTACCAGTGAGAGGGACCAATACGAAGGGATTTACACTCCTCGGACGCTATGCGGATTTATTCTATATGGAATTAGGATATGTGCAATTCGTGAGGAATTGGATTACAAATTCTGTGCGCAATGTTACGGACAGCGAAGGGGATAGTCGCAGCACTGTTTTTAGTGTTAGCGGTGATAACTGTACCCCTTGTGAGAGGTGAGATGCATTCCTTTAGAAAAATGGGCCATCGTGATTTCGGCTAGCGGACGATTACTAGGTTGTCTGAGTTGCTCCTTTTGTCGTTATTAATTTCCGTACCACATTTGATTGAATCTTATTCATCTTTATTAACTTTTAACATGAATTTGACGCATCTACAGCCTTTTCCCACGGTCAAAATAACTTCTGATTGGGGGTTGTCTTTGTTTAAACCGTCCATTTTGAAACACTAAAGGGTACAGATATAGCGTTGGGTCGAATTAAGTATAATATTTGATAGATGCTCTCTGTTTTCTTTCACTTGTATTATCAGGTCATGTGAAAGTTACAATGTTTGGCAAGTAATAGAACTAAGAATTCATGAGTCATATTAGAGCTCGCGTGTTTACCTTTCAAAAATAGACTCGTGCACTTGTTACGCACAGTCGCTCGCACTGCACGTGTTTTTCATGATATTTATGCTTTCTCGGATGGTTTTATCGTGCAATGATAAAAATAGACACGCAGACGTCTTATGTAATACGAGTTTTTTCAACGGTTTGTGCTCAATTGAGAATATGTACCTTACGCGCAGACTATGGAATATCGTTTTTATCACCTGTCAGAAGTAAACATTGTTCAACACTGTTAGCCAGCATGTCTTGTGATTGCATCGTCTGATGATATGGAAACAATGTTGTACTGGATATCCTTTTTCTTTACAACCTGTGTATATCGTTTCATATGGATATTTGTTAAACGCATGCCGTAGGTACGAGTATCTTGCTTTCAAAACTACGCTTGTTATATTAAGTGTTTTTGTATGGGTTATTAGGCATGTATAGCAGAGATGCTTGTTTTGTAAATGTTCGCATAATTACACATTCAATCTTTGTATAATATTTCTGGGAAGGTGGGGAAAAAGCTTACCTTGTGTAGGTGCCAATGGGTGGTTGTACACAGTAATTGATTGGTTGTTCAGTACACACACTGTATATTGTGTTGGCTGATTAAACAGCTAATTGGTATCATTAGTAATTAATTACAAATTGCCACCATGTAAGCTTAAATGGTTAGTATATCAATAACTGTAATTAGTTACTACATAGGTTTCTTAGGAGCCATTTAATTAAGCATTTTTTTATTCATATATTTGTATTTAAAAAAAATAGTATTTTATCATTTTAATGTATACTTATTGAATTGATTGATACAAGCAACAGCTCTCACTATTAAACATTAAACTATCTCTTGTATTGATAGCAAGTCATTAAGCTCTCATGAACAATTACACTGTAGATAATATGAACATCAAGTTGAATAGAAATGTTTCTTGAGGTAAATGCGCGGGTGGTAGGCTGGTGGTTGATGGTTCATTATCACAGATAAGCCCATGTTTTAGAAGTACAGTTTGTAAAACACTGTTTTCATTGACTGTCAGTGTAGATATTAATGGAATATTAGTCCATCAGTGTTTAACTCCACAGAACATTCTCACCAACTGTATATATACAACTGTTATCAGTGGGTGACACCAGGGTACTGGAACCAGGTACACTAATGTCTATTATGATTAAACTTAAATGGATTACTAATGTAACTTTGGCATAAATAAACTCATTGTCTCCTATTTGTCCGAATGGTGTGTAAGTTAGCCAAATACCAGTTATTTTGTGAATTGAGAGTATGTGATAGTTTGTCTTTAAAACCTTCTTTAGTTACAGCCTTATATACGTTTGTCTTCCTAAGGGTGAGTGAGATGTGTTAAACATCACTTATAACAGTATTCCAGTTATCACAGCATATCAGCTCAGTGTGGGAGGAAAGCCTGAAGAGATGCATGTCTCAGACATTTACCACTTTGGTGAAACCCATGAGCATGGATATGGTGCTGTCAAACCTAGAAATATAATCAGGGCTTCCTTCGAAGGTTGTGTGTTTTGCAACATCTTCAACTATTTTATCTATTGAACAACTTTGGTTTGGTTCCTAATTTTCTGAGTCATTTTATTGAGGTATGTGCTCATGCTATCAACCAATGGTTTGCCTGGCTCAAATTAGATTATTTCCAGAGTGTTATGATAAAGCAGGAATATTGCTTTCTTGCATATATCAACATCACCCACACATCCTTAGAAATTTGTTTCTATAAGACTTGTCCAGAGGGCTAGTGTTAACCTTATTTCACTAGTCCTGTTAAGTTTGTGGATAGTTCTGCTTTAAAGAGACAAAAATGTTTGATATGTGTACATTTTCTGTGAGTTTTCTTAAGTTCCAATTTGTAGCAAAATTGAAAAACTGGTTCAGAATGATAACTCTTAAATGCTATTAGTCAAGGAGGATGACATGGATTTTTCACCTGCCCTCAGCACAATTTAGTAGTTGGGCTGCTTATTCACATTTTGAGGTTCAGACTTTAGAGTACAGCATGTTCTTAAGTACGTCATTGATGCACCGAGGCAGTATGATCATGGATGCTGGCAAGTTTTACACTGATGACCCCTTGAAACCAGTGTTAGGAATTAACAGGGTCCTAGAGGCTTGCTGGTATGGTATTCAGACATCGAAATTCATGCTAGTCCACTAGCCTGAGATTACTAAATTGTGCTGAGGAGAAGTGAGAATCCAAAGGTAGTAGTTTTCACTGACTGGTAGCATTTGAGTGCTGTAATTTTCAATACTTCAGATTTGCTACCAATTTGAAGTGAATAAAAGTCACGAAAAAATGTAAACAATATAACACTGGAAACGATGTATTAAAACCACTATGGGTATAAACTATGACTTATCCCACCAATTCTCCAAAATGGATCAAATTTCAAGCTTTCAGTTGTTCAAATCTGATTTCAATATTTAATGGAGACTCCAGTTCATGGGTTGTCATGTCAAGTTCATGGGTGAATGAGTGAATACACAACTTTGCACTAAAACTTAGCACAGCCCACAATATAATACTGTAGATTAATGTCCAAAACTGTAGATTAAGTGTGAATTCCATGAAACAGCTGGGGAATGATTGCAATTTTTTTTTAACATTGTGCAGGGATTTCCGCCAACTGTTTTCATTGTAAAAAAAAATCATACACATAATTCATTTTGTTTCCACAAAGAACTTGCCACTCCAAAATGATTCCATAGCATGCATGATAACATCGTATATCACCCAGAAATCCATGTCAGATGCTATATATATTTGTTACCGAATTCCACTTTCAGGCCATTAGGTCTAAAAATACATCTCATGCAAGAGATCTATATGAGCTTCCCTCTTTGTATGGTGGAATCCTGGTGCTAGAACAAGCACTCTGGCTTATCCACATGTTCAGCCAACTAAAACTGGAATCGATTGCCAAGATAATGGCCCCTGCTTTTAGTTGGCACCAAACAATACCTACATTTAAACACTATGGCCATTATCCTGCAGTAGGTAATACCTGACAAATCAATAATGCTGTAGAGTTCACATCATTGATTTGGCACGGTCCCTACAGAAACCTTGCAACGGGACATGGCTTCAGAAGGGGAATTCCTCGCTCTTCATGCTGATGCTTTGTGTTCGTTGGGGTTAAAAAGTCCTTGCTATGGCTTCAGCGATGTGTCTGAGCCATGTTTTGATATATTAAAGTTCCAGTTATTTATCTATGAAATGAGGTTTAAAGGACAAGCATTTTTTCTGCCAATTTTTTTTAAGTCCTTATTTTTCTTATATTCAGATATATATTAGCATGGTATTGTACACAATTACATAAACTTTAAAAGTAAATATTAAAGCCTTTTCTTTCTTTGTTGACCTTGTCAGCAGTGAAATACAATCACCTTTGCTCAGGTAAATAAAATTAGGCATGGCTATGGTTAAAATACCTGGATTGATCCTTGGGTTCATTATCCCTACAGAAAAAACTTGATTTTTACAAAGCACAGGAAGTAAAAAAAATCTTGCTTTTTACCTTTTACTCTTTTAATGTACAGTAAACTATGGTTATAACGAACTCAAAGGGACCGCTAATTTAAGTTTGTTTTTACCTCAAGTCATTAAAAGCATATATATAGCATATATATAGCATATATATAGCATATATATATCAAATGGCCAGGAACAAATAATATTTTTGTGATCTCCGTCAGTTCGTTATAAACATAGTTTACTGTACATGTTAATTTGTGATGATACAATATATATTTTCACATAATAATTATGGAAATAACGTATGGACATGATCGAGGGCAACTAGTCTTCATTATGAAAGCTTTGTGAATCACTGTTGATAATACAAACCTTCCTCTTAGCCGTAAATATTTCAGTATAAATATGCAAACAAAACTATGAAAAGCACAGTTCATATTATTTGGAAATATATCACGGTTGTGATTCTGAGCCCTTTTATGTATTGTGATAGTGTGATGAATGCTTTATGTGTTCAAATAAGCCCAAATTGATTACATTGAGACCACAATGATATCGCTCGATTTTGGCTGACAGTGACTGCAGCATTAAAAAAATTTCACTCGCTCACTCACAGACTCCATATAAGCCAACTTCTCTGGTTAATGTTGCAAGATGTTAAACATTTGTTTCCGCAATGTAGGTTTCAATTATTAAATTGTAAGTGATTCCTTGACATTTGATTGGATGATGTAACTGCTTTTGTATCATTTGTCGACAGAAATGTGAAGTTATTATTGTTAACTTTTTTATTTTAAGAATTGACTTCAGTCTATCCTTTTGCATTTATGGAGGTATTGAAATAAAAACAGTGTAAGTCCATGTAAATGACGCACGTGTATACCTCCTTAAACAAAAAAACATGTTCAAGTGAATTCTTCAATCATCAGACAAGTTTGTGTTGAGATCATGAAAGGAACCTATGAGTATTGTACATATTTACATAGTCATAGATGTATTTAAATATATCTTCGCCAAGATTTATGTATACTCCTCATAACTGATCAATATTTTACAAAGAACAGTCCAAAACAGTTGGCTCTTCAAGCATGAAAATAATAAGTCAACGGTTTCT